CTCGCCTGCGTGCAGGGTGGTAGCAATTGATCCAGAGACAGAGTAGTTTCACATCCATCAGAATGTGTGGTCCTTGGGCATTTTCCTCTCGAACAACATCCAGGACCCCCATTTCCTCCTGGAAATGAGGGAAATTACATAAAGTTCCCTTGGAAGGTGTACTTCTACCAAGAACACCAGAGCATGGCACCCGTGGCCTGGGTGAGAGAGATGGCAAAGGGGAGGGTCAGCTGGTTGCCATCGGAGTCTGCCGAAGCCACCTGGGACACGGGACAGGACTGCAGCAGTACCCACATGCCTGGCATCTCTGGGTGCCCATGACTCCTTGTGACCAATGCCAAGCGGAGGTAGGATACAGAGCAGAGCATGTGTCTTCTCAATGCTCCCACCATTCTGTGGCTGGAGGTCAAGTCAGGGCAGCACTGTCATGTCCTTAATCTTGTCACTCTAGAGTCAATGAGCCCCAGGGATAAGAAATGCTTCAAAATAGGAACTCTGGGCTTGTTGGTCAATTGACAGATTTCGGAACAGTTCCCCTTTGTAGCATCCTCTCTCCAAGGAGGCCATGCCCTGACCTCTCTTCTTGTTGCCCATTCCTTCTGTGTGTTGAATGTCTGTCCCAAACACCTGGTCGCCTCAAGAGCAGGTGCCACCTGAGGCAAGAAGCCCCAGGAGTCACACTGCAGTCATGGGGGCTAGAGAGCAACACGGAGGAGATGGTGACAGCGAGTGGGCGACACACCTCCAGGTCTGGTCACTCCCTCATGCCCAAGCCTGAGCTCTTGGGCACGATATAAAATCTGTCGGTTTCTTATGCTCTACCTCCTACCTTCCAGCTGGCTCCTCAGGGTCCTGGCTTCTGGCCACTGCCCCTGTCTCTATTTTCTGTCTTTCCTCTCTGACCTTTAGACTGAAGATTTAGCTGAATAATTTGTAGGCCTCATTCCCTCCCAGCACCACTTCCAAGACTCTGCCTCTTGATTTACCCCTTTGAGCCAGGCCTTGGAGCAGGCAGGCAAACATGGCCCTGCTGCTCCCACGCTTAGGTCATGCTCTGCCCTAGGCCCAAGGTCTGAGCATTTTGTCTAACCAAGGCGAGAAGAAATGGGTCACATGCAAATTATGATGATGCAAAAGTGTAAGAGTGATCTTGAAGAAAATAAATGTTTTTATGCCAAAGGACATGTATGTATGTGAGTGGGAGAGAGAGAGAATGTGAGAGAGAGAGAGAGTGTGAGAGAGAGACAGACACTATGCTTCTCAATCTCATTGGGATTCTGAGCATGTGGGTGTTTTTCAAGCTGTCAGAGTTAGGACTCAAACCCCGGTTGGCCACAGGAGATCTGGCTTCCTCTGCACAATGCTGAAATGCGGTGCTACAAGGCAGCCCAATGACAGCGATTTTGATTTTGACCTCCACTGTGAGGTAATGGTGAAGGCAACTCCATTAGTAGTTGTGAAAAGGTGTTGGTGTTGATGACAGTGAAATTGATGACGATGTTGATATTGTGACAGCAATGGTTGGATGGAAACCTTGATGTTGATGTTGATGAGACTGACAGGGATAACGGTGTCAGTGCCCTCACGGTAACGGTGATAACGAGAATAGAGCAGCAATGAGGATTGTGATGTTGACATCAGTGCAATGAGACTGACGATGATAAGGATGACAATGCCATCACAGTAATGGCGATGATGGCAGGAGATTAGTGATGAGGATGGTGACGCTGATGTCAGTGTTGATGAGACTGACGATGATAACGATGACAATGCCATCATAGTAATGTCGATGACGACAGGATGGTGATGTTGATGACAGGATGGTGAGGTTGATGTCAGTGTTGATGAGACTGACGATGATAACGATGACAATGCCATCATAGTAATGTCGATGACGACAGGATGGTGATGTTGATGACAGGATGGTGAGGTTGATGTCAGTGTTGATGAGACTGACGATGATAACGATGACAATGCCATCATAGTAATGTCGATGACGACAGGATGGTGATGTT